AACTGGAAAAAAGGTTTAGGAACTGGAAAAAAGGTGACAAAACTTATGTGGAGTTTGCAAGAGATTTGGAGATTAATTTCAATCGATGGTGCACTTCCTCTGAGGTTAAAACACTTGGTGACCTCTGTAATTTAATGGTTTTGGAACAATTTAAAAACTCTGTTTCTCATAATATTGCAGTGTACATTAATGAACAGAAGGTTAAAACAGAGTCAGAAGTTGCAGTGATGGCTGGTGATTTTGTCTTGACACATAAAGATACAAGTGGAGAGCAAGCAGATGGAAGAAGAGCTCCAACCTGGCATTCGACACATTCTGGAGGTTCTTTTTTGGATCGCAGTAACCATGATCTGGACAAAATTTGTAATTATTGTCACAGAAAAGGTCATTGGAAGAAAGACTGTGCTTTGCTGAAATCCCGAAATAAAAATGAAACTCGGGTTAAACCAGCAGCTGCGTCAGTTTTTGTAAGTGTTCCTCACAAAGTGGCTGAAGTGTCATTTTCTGGAAAATCTGATCTGAGTTCTTACAAACCATTTCTGTTGGAAGGACAAGTTTCTTTGGTTGGGAGGGACGTTAAGGCGCCAGTTACTATCTTAAGAGATACTGGTGCATACGATTCATTCATTTTGGCATCTGTTTTACCTTTTTCAGATGATTCTGACACTGGATTATCTATACCTGTGTTGGGTATGGGCATGTCTGTGTTTTGTGTTCCAGTACATAAGCTCATGATCCATTCAGAGTTGTTTGAAGGAGAAGTAAGGATGGGTGTGAGACCTGCACTGCCTGTGATGGGTGTTACAGTTATACTGGGGAACAATATAGCTGGAGGGAAAGTCTGGCCTGATCAACCAGAGGCTCCAGTTGGTGTTTCAGTACCTTTGATCAGCAGTGGCCCTGATGACAATGAAAAGTCACACCCTGACATTTTCCAAGCATGTGCTGTGACACGGGCAATGAAAGCATCCAGTCATGTACATCAGGATGAAGACTTCGGAAAAGATAAACAGATTTCCTCTTCATGTTTGTCTAATATTCCTTTATCTATTTCACAGAATGATCTGGGACAGGAGCAAAGATCTGACCCCACCATACAGCATTTATTTCAGTCTGCATTGTCTGCTGAGGAGATGCAGAGCCATGCTCATAGATACTTTGTTGAAAACAAGATATTGTTAAGGAAGTGGATGCCATGTGGTGAGAATGATATTGGGGAGCCAGTTTATCAGGTTGCGGTGCCTTTGAAATGGCGTGACTTAGTTTTGCAGGTGTCTCATGATGAATCTGGACACATGGGAGTTAGGAAAACCTACGACCGCATTTTGAGAAATTTCTTTTGGCCACGACTGAAAAAGGATGTTTCTTCTTATATTAAAACTTGTCACACCTGTCAACTTACTGGTAAACCCAATCAAGTGCTAAACCGGGCACCACTGTATCCTATTCCAACTATTGGTAGACCGTTTGAGCACTTAATAATTGATTGTGTGGGTCCTCTTCCCCCTTCACGTTCAGGTG